GCTGACATCTCTGTTGATTCCCTGACTCACGTCGAGTAGTCAGGGGTGAATTTGCCATGCAGGGTTATGTCCGAGAGCTCTTCAAACAGTTGCTATTTTCAGACAAGAATCCATCTTACACCTTGGCATGAGTCCATGGCTTTTGCCATTTCCTACTCAATGCCTATCTTTAAGTTCATTTGTGCGCCGAGGCGTTCGCAGGGAAGTTAGCGGTACTGTAGATAACACAAAACCATGACTTCGTTATAGCGCTTTCATAATTTCAAAGGTCAATCTGTCTTGTTTTTCTATTTTTCAGCTTTACTGAGAATCTTTTAACTATCGGCATTAAGGATCCAGCTATAAAAGCCAAGAAACAGCTTTCTATTTTGGTTGATGAACCAAACCAGAGTGCTTGTAATTCAGCTGGTCGTGATGGACTGATGTTGAAATTATCAAACATATTTTGTGACAGATCAATGTTTGTATGACAGCTTTATGCTTTTCAGGAATATTTTCAGATTTGTGGAAATGCTAAATAGGGATTTCTTCACTTTTAGGTTTGTCCACAGTGTTGCCAAGTCTCGGGCTACTTTTACACTGTTGCCGCGGGTAGTTTGTCTAGACTACTTTCTAGTTTTTCGTATTGAACACCCTCACCCCACCTGGAACGCGAGTGGGATAGTTTTGGCAGTGATTGGGCTAGTTTTAATTTGCATTTGGGCCGGTTTTGTTGTGCAGACCTGGCAACCCTGTTTGTACATTAAAAAACTCTAGTGGCAAAACATCCGTCTGGCTCCCTGTATCCTCTCATCAATCATTTCCAGGAAGCAGTAAGTCAATGCACCTGAATGGATCACCTCACTGTGACCAGCTAGTGTAGTATGTTTTTCTCTATTTATATTGTCAAGAATAATGAACTGGAAAAAATAATAATAAAGAACTATAAAGTTAGACATTACTCAATTGGGGATTTGATATTTTCAACAATCTGAAATTTTTATTTTCAATTTATTATTTGATTTAAAAAAAAAACAGAATTTACAGAATTCATCAAATCTACTGTTACTTACTAATTACTAATTTTTAACTAGTAAATAAAATAATATAATCATGTATTCATAGTTTTGATCAAAATAAATACATTTGCTTGGAGGAATTAACAATATTACAATCTGAATAGCTTTATTTATTTATTTTTTTAGGGCAATATTCAATACTTGTTTTACTTCTATATACTAAAAAGCCTGGTTTATTTCCTGAAAATGTATGGATATGGAATTTACCCTTAAATAAATAAATAAAAAATTGTGTGTTTTGTCTTTCTGTCTTGCAGAGACCCAACAGCACATTTCCACGGTCAAATAAAAAAAAGAGTATAAATATTTATGTAAAAATAAATATTTATAACCCTAGGAGTATTTTCACACGTATATATATATTTTTGTTTCATTTTAAAAGCATAAACTGGAGGGGGGAAAAAAATTGGTGTAGGATTTTCAATCAGAAATTACTAGTAAATTGAACCATTTCAAAGAAATGACAAGGAACACTGAATAAACGTGATTTTTTTTAAGTTGAAAGGCTGAAATAGTATTTTCTTATAAAAACTAGTAATCTTTGTTTTATTTACAACTTCGAAAAATCATTTTACCCAGTATGCACATGCTATTTTCTTGCATTTTTCAATTTGAACATAATTTAAGGGCTTAAGATAGTGTTAGCGCTTGAAGATAGACCAGTAGATCTGCAGTGTAGGTCATTTGAACAAACCCACAGGGGTCGCTGACCCACTGCTAGAAGCGCCGATTTCTGAAACAAGGAGAGAAAAAAACCTTGCCGTGATGTCTAGATAATAAGACATCTCTTATCTGGCCCTGCGTGAACACTCATCAGTAACTTAGGAGCAATTCTTCTCATTTTCTGACCTTTGACACTACTATTACCACAAACAATACCTCATCTCTCTGTCTTTGTACTACAGTGATGTACCTTCTTTTATCAGGGCTATTTATCCAGCTTATTTGTGGCCAATAGATGAGACAATTAGGGAATGAGTTTCCCCCCAAAAAGACCCTTGCTGAGGACAACCAAAAGATCACATTTTAATCAACCCAATGGAATAGAGCCAGGAAGCTTTTAAGGATCAAGACATAACACTTTAAACACACACACACACACACACACACAAGGGAATACTGTGACTAGAGAACTAGGCGAAGGTGATAAATCTCCTATGAGAGGCCTGAGTCTTCAGGCAAACAAGATGCGTGTGTGAAATACGTCTAAAAGCTCAAAGGTATAGTCCAGTCTTCACGAAAGTAGGAATTAATTCCTGTTAAGTAGCTGCCGAAATGACCTTTTTTATTAATGAGTGGTTGGTTAAATGCTCAACGTCTCACAGCTGAGACCCTTTGACGTCATGGTTTGTAGAGCTGCATTAATGGAAATAATTAGAGCGATGTAATTCCACACTGGTGGATGGTGAAGACCCGTGCACGGGTGTTTACTAGAATTAACAAGCATTACATTTCAAATGTAATACTAACCAGTATCCAAGTGCATCAATAAAGCAAGAAGGATATATGCATTAGTATAAGGTTAAATATTTTGAAACATGTCAAGATTGTGTCAGTCATATTTTACATTAAAATCAAAACGAATAAAGAAAAAGTTAAAGCCTATTTTGGATTTTTTTTTTTAAAAGAAGAAAAGAATCCTAAAAGTAACAGGAAACCATTGCGACTACTGTGATCTGACATGTTTCAGTCTGTTCTGGAACTGCCTAATTTAACATTGTTTCTACTCTTTAAATCTGACACAGTAGACCAAACAATAGATACCCCCAAATGTGTGCTTTCACAGCAGCTCTTCTTATCAGCACTCCCGGAGCAGAGTATTCTTTCTCAGTGGGTAGACTGAAAGCATTGTTTCTTTTCTCTCTCTTTTTTTTTCATCATACAATCTCTGTATCTTGTTCAGTTTTTCGCAGGATATTCAGATTTCCATTGAGGTTTTCTTGTACTGCAAAACCATAGGATTTCATTTAAGTGAATCAACTGTATTCAATATATTCGATTCTGTTATACACTTAGCATGAAGTTTTGCATGAATTGTATAACAATAAGGTGTCCGGATTTCTGAAATAAAATCAAGATTTTTTCAGTTTTGTAATTTTCCTGCATTGGTTCCCCCGAAGTATATATATTTTTCCATTTATTTTTCCCATAGGGATTTTTAAAATAAATTGCATGGAGCTGCGTGATCATTCTGCGAAACTTCTTGTTTAGTGTTTCACACACGTTTGGAATGACATGAATAGGTGAAAGAATCTTCATTTTTTTTGAAAAAGCTGATTGTATAATTCGGCATTCAACACTAACGCCCGTTTCACACATACTCCGTGTGCAGTGCGTATGCGGTGCGTGTTGCGGTGCGTATGCGGTACAGGAGCAGCACGCGCTATAGTGCTTTCACATATGCTGCGTGCGTTTGCAGTGCGCAACTGATCCGCGGCTGTACCACAAACACATTTACTCACTATTTGTATTTCAAAAAATCATCAATCAAATCAAGTTATCAGCAGCAAAAGTTTTTGCCTCCAGTGCAATTCTCTTTGTAGGCCTATTCACGTTTAAAACACAATTTAAACAACGTATTATTCAATGCATTACTTTTATATAGGCCTAGATTATATATTAAGTTGCTCAAGCAAGTGGTAACATATTTAACCATGTACTTATATTAAAATCGCAAACATTTTAAATTAAAACTTAAAATTGACAAAAACAGCAGACTCATACCTTTTCTTTTGCATAATTCAAATCTGTATACAATAAATCTTGCATGTCACAAATAACTTGTTTTTCCACCTCAACGAATGAGACGAGTGTCGTTCATTATGTGGCCTTGTTGAAGTAAATTGTAGCTTTCTTTGCTTTACCCCGGTCTTAAAGTAAAAAGATGACTGTGAAAAAAGTAGTATTTAATTAAATGCATTTATGGTTACATTGTATTTAATTAAATACATTTATGGTGAGATTACTACATTTTATTGAATTAAATCAGATTAGATGCATTTATGGTGAAATTACTACATATTCAGGTCAGTCTGTGTTCATTTTGACCACGAACCGTGCGCTGTCACTTTAATTCAGCGTTTGCAGCACAGCAGAAATAGACTCGGTGCGGAAACGATCTCTGCACTGCTGTATACGCACCGCAACTGGAACGGATCGACGGACCGCATCCGCGTGCAGTGTGAAAGCTCTAACTTGTTAACATGGGTACGGAAAAAAATACGCACCGCATACGCACTGCAAACGGAGTATGTGTGAAACGGGCGTAAGGCTGCATGTAATAATGCAAATCCCTTGTGAATGCGTGTGAGAGAGAAAGAGAACAGGAAGATGGCATTTTACTTCGGGTTAATAAATGTTTTCCTGCTTCAATCCTTTGTGTCGAGAAAAACACGAGTGTCGCTCTCTCTGGCTTAACCTCACATCCATTACGCAGCGTTCAAGTGCTGATGTTACAGGCGAGTGCATGTCTGTGTTTTTGAGCACATGCTTAATTACTGTACAGAATGACTAAATATATAGGTTTTTAATCGTAACGGAGGATTTAAAACACATTCATGCATGACAGTTGATTTAAGTAATAGCTAAAAAATCATTTTGTCCCCTGCTCATTGATGAGAGATATTTGAAGGATTTAAAGTCCTCAAAATCATAATGAGAGGCAATTAGTTGCAAGTATGCTTGACAAAAAGGAAAAAGATGAGATGACATCAGCCAGAAAGAGGTGGATGAGTTGATTGCAAGGCCACGATCTCATTGGTTGATGCTACATGGGTGAAGTGCACCTGATTGGTTGGCTCAGTCAGAGAGGAAGCAGTAACTGAAGTGTCTGGCTATGTTCAAAATGACTGTTACTATTTTTGAGGAATAATACCCACAATGCAATGTGACTGTACTCAGAAATTCAGATGTGCATATGTTCCCTTTGCGTTCTATCTGTAGGTACTACAGTGCCACCATTCTGCAGATGTCAGGAGTACGTGATGACAAGTTGGCCATCTGGCTGGTGACTGTAACGGCGTTCACAAATTTCCTGTTTACTCTGCTGGGCGTTTGGTTGGTTGAAAGGGTGGGCAGACGTAGACTTACGTTGGGGAGCATCTTCGGTAAGATTTTGACATGCTTCAGGAAGCTGAATACTGTATATTCCAGTGTATTCCAAACTTATTTTGGATTCTAAGATTTAACTATGGTGCTTTTTATATAGAGAGGGGAGGGGGGTACAATTCAAAAGTTGGTGGTCAGCAAGAGTTTTTTTTTTTTTTTTTTTACTGTTTTTAAAGAAGTCTCTTATGCTCACCATGGCTGCATTTATTTATTCAAAAATCCGCCATTACTCCAGTATATGTTCCAAAAATCATATTATAGTTATTTGGTGTGCAAGTAACATTTCTAATAATTTTACAATGTTGAAAACAGTTGTGGTGCTTATTACTTTTTTTTGGCCAGCAGGATACATTATTTTCAGGATTCAATGATGAATAGAAAGTTCACAAGAACAGCATTTATTTGAAATACAAAGGTTTTGTAACATTATAAATGTCTATACTGTCACTTTCAATCCGTTTAATACATCATTGCTTAATAAAAGTGTTGATTTCTGTAAAAAAAAAAAAAATGAAAAAAAAATATCTTACTGACCCTAAACTTGTGAATGGTTGTGTATTTGTATTTAAAATGTATTTTATTCTATTTAATGACTTTCTAGCAACATTTAATTCACGAAACAGTAAGAAAACGTAATGGTATATGCCAACGCTATCTCACGACCAATTCGTACGAATTCGTACGAGGTGACTAATTCGTGCGAATTTGTACGATTTGTCTAAACCCCAGTGATGGGAAGGTTTAGGGGCGGGGTCATGGGGAGGTCATTCATATGAATTCATACGAATTGGGCAACTCGTAAAATATGTACGATTTAGCAAAAATCTTACGAATTCGTATGAGTGACTACGAGGTGACTAATTCGTACGAATTTGTACGATTTGTCTAAACCCCAGTGACGGGTAGGTTTAGGGGCGGGGTCAGGGATAGGTCATTCATATGAATTCATACAAATTGGGTAACTCGTAAAATATGTACGATTTAGCAAAAATCTTACGAATTCGTATGAGTGAGTACGAGGTGGCTAATTCGTACGAATTTGTACGATTTGTCTAAACCCCAGTGATGGGTAGGTTTAGGGGCGGGGTCATGGGGAGGTCATTCATATGAATTCATACGAATTGGGCAACTCGTAAAATATGTACGATTTAGCAAAAATCTTATGAATTTGTATGAGTGAGTACGAGGTGGCTAATTCGTACGAATTTGTACGATTTGTCTAAACCCCAGTGACGGGTAGGTTTAGGGGCGGGGTCAGGGATAGGTCATTCATATGAATTCATACGAATTGGGCAACTCGTAAAATACGATTTTGCAAAAATCTTACGAATTCGTACAAGTGAGGCCGTATGAATTCGTACGAATTAGCCACCTCGTAAAATACATACAAATTGCTGTGCGATTAGGTTGTATATGCAAACATATTAACCAACTGGTTAGGCCAACATATATTGTAATTAAAATGTACAAAATGAAAACATGTAAAAAAAATAAAAATTCAAAGATATAATTACAAAGATATAGTCGTTGTGACAACTTCCCTGTATGAAAACTTGCCCATGTTTCACCCACATTTTGCAATTTAAAATGCTATTTTGAGAGAGAAAAAAAAGCCAAAATACATATTTATATATGATAATATATTTTTTTATTCAATCTGTGTGTACAGGTACTGTTTTGAGTCTTTGTGTCCTGTCTGTTGGCTTCCTCCTGTCAGCCCAACATTCCCCTCCTGTTACACTACACCTGACGGACCCCACGACACCCAACTCCAGCTGCACAACACATCTGTGAGTATGATTTAATGGGCATGGTTATCTTATAGAGCTTCTAGCTAGAGGCAATATGAATAATTCATAAGCACACTATAGGATATAGTATAATCAGTTCCAATATAGTGACAGCTGTCTTGTTACTTGGTGTCTTGTCATTTAGCATGTAACAAAAGGGACTGAAGAGACAGTTCCCCAGAGCATGCATGAGTTAAGTTCCTACATGTGCAAGACTTCCTTGGTCAGCCAATTGATGAAGCTTCTTGATCAGCATGGTTTTTCTGCAGAAGTTGATTGACCAAGGAAGTTACGAAGATAATTCACTCAAAAGCTAAATTCTGTTCCTTGTAACTTTAAAGAGTGACATGAAGGCGATTACATGATGACATATACATTTCATTTTTAGCAATTAACACGTTTGTTGGTGGGTATAACTTGAATGGAGAGAGAACAGAGATGGATTGTACCTTTCTAGGTGGGTCCTAGTTTAGCAATCACTGCTGTATAGTGATCTGGGGAATTCATACTGGAATAAAGTGAATATAAATCAATATCAAGCCTCTATGGGAGATGCATGAAAATGAGTTGCACAAGGACAGCTCAGAGATAATAGGAACACTGTACAATTGGAACAGTGGAACTGTGGGACCTTATGAATACCATCAGTCTCCACATCATTGTCTCATCACCATCTGTCGGTACCATTGACCCCAGGTAGATTGCAGTGGCAAATGCCATCTTTGCGGCAGAAATTGAGACTCATCTTCCAATTCTTAGTATTACCTTCACGGTCCTCATCAAACCTCAAACCAAAAGTTGTAAAGCAGGGCTTTAGCCACCCAGGCAGCCCATACCAAGATTCTCATCCAATCCAGGGACCACAATAAACACTTCCTCAAAATAGTCTCCTCAAACAAGTTTCAAGAGGGAAGAAGTCTTCTATAATCCACTGCAAACTCATTGAAGTCTGGTTTCATCATCTGGAGTCATTTACAAATAAGAGTCTTGACAATAATGAATATATATATATATATATTACAAGTATATAAGTTGACTGCTCTAAAATGTCATGTGGGGAAAGAGCATATTTCCTTTTTTTTTTGTTTAAATATATTTTAGATTTGTATAAAAAAAAAAAATTTCAAGGTAAAATACGCTTTTTCTAACTATCATAAATCATATATGTAATAAGTTTTTGGAGAGTCGTGCCGCATAACATTGCTCTAAAATCTGACAATTTAAGACATTTATTGACCTTGACACACAACCATTGAGGGTCCGCTTTCCCAACAATGAAGTAATTCCCTGTTCCCTACTAAGGTCACACAACATGAATTTAATTTGGTTGCCAAGTTTTTTTAAATATCAGTTTGTAAAAAAATATAATTTATTTTATAAGAAATAATACTATAATATACCAAACTACTGAAGGTTGTCATTTCAAGAATTTCATCCTTTTAAAAGGTATTTTTTCTCCATTAAAAAATGAAAAGTGCATAATAGAAGAGGTATATTCATGTCATTACACGTTTAAGTTTTATTTTTGAATAAATTCATAGATGCAGATTAAAACAAAAAGTGTTATTTCATTCAACCACCATCAATTTATAAATCAAGTCCCAGTCTACATTTTTGTCTCGTTTTATTGTTCCACTCAGAATTACCTCACATTCCCGAAGTAAAATGTATTTTTCACTGTATAGTTTTCTTCTGTAAAGTTTATGTCGAGTCCAGTGGCGATCAATTGCTATACTTATGCCTCTATCAGCATGCTTATTGTGAAATTATACCATTTATAATGGGTTTCTCTTGCTTTAGTCAACAAACAGCTCTTCGGCTTTCAACCCGAGTGAAAATCAATTTTATGTTTGGCTCTGTTGGTGTGTACTTTGAGGTAATAACTGCATGTGTTAGGAGGTCCAGGCTGCTCGCTGTTCCTTAATGTCACAGTAATAGAGAGTCTGAAGTGTGTGTAACCTCATAACAGTGACCCCCCTGTTGTCTGACAGAGCGTGGCCTCTGCTCTCCATCCTAATTTACTCTTACGCCATCCTCCAGTTCACCATACGCGCACCCCCAAAAACAAAGCATGTTTATTTTCTGCTAATGGACGCGTAATGACTGCGCTATCATCACGGCAGCAAACCCAATTTGTGTTTAGACTTAAATATTCCATATTGGATTACAGTATTTAATGGACACACCGTAACTGCCATGCAATTTCCATTGACCAAGACAGCTGGAGCTAATTACTTAATAAGTGTTGATATGTAAATGTGGTGGTCATATGTTAATGGGATTGTGGTTGTGATCTTTTATCATGAATATTTCTGAGTGAGCCATTTATGCAGCTTAAAATCAGAATAAAACGGAAGTTGTGACAGACTTTATTACTGTATTGTGGCGTTTTTTTTAGAGTGAAACAGCTTACCAAACAAGGGGAAAATGCTTTGACTTGATTTAATCCTTCGGTTGTTAACAATATTGAGTGATGAGTCACGCATAATAAGAAATTCTGGCAATGTGCATTAAGAAAGTAAATGGGGTCCATTTTGACTTCAGAAGTAGATTTCAAGGTCAGTATTTTGACACAGCACATTGACAGGCTTGGCTTGGGTTTTTAAAGTAATTTGTCTTGCTCTCACATTACCTTTCCAGGTCGTGTGAGCCCTGTATGTTGGACCCTAGCTGTGGTTACTGTTATCAGGAAAACAGCACTGCTGTGTTCGCCTCCTCCTGTGTGCCCGTCAATCCGGCCTCCACCGAGAGAGCAGCGTGGGGCAAGTGAGTCACTAATAAAGCCGAGATTTTGTGTGTAATTGTGCTGTTCTGTGTACATTTGGGAACATGTTGTGATTTTATCCATTCTAAAGTACATTACTAAGTTACCTGATAAAACTTGCCAAACGTCAAATGTGTAATAAAATTTGGTTGTCAAAGTTGTCATGCCCTTGACAACCCAAAAGGCTGTTTCCCCTACTTGGGGCTTTATAGTTTTTATATAACATTTTGTCTTTTTAACAGGTTTTAGATTGTTCATTGTCACATTACGGCATGTTACATGTGGTTGAACCTGCAGTGTTGTTTAGTAATCAATTCAACTATTAATTAATATGCCCTATATAGTTCATTATGTGTCTGTTTTAAATCTAACAGGTGCTCCAACTCCACACATATGCCAGATAGTGGTATATGGGCTTATAACTTTTGCCCAACCTCTTATTCATGGGTTGTGCTCCTGGGACTTGTGCTATATCTCGCATTTTTTGCCCCAGGTAAGATGATCAAAACTGTCTTTTAAGTACCTCAGCATACATGTTTTTTTCAGTTTTTGCTGCATGCATGATAACTAGGGTTTGGACACTCCGGTTTTAGTTCAAAAATAGCAGAAAATTGCCTTTATTTCGATAGTATATCAAGAGAGAGGATACGGAGCAAAGTGGGAGAGAGTGTGTTGGGAAAGGACCACGAGTCGGGACTCAAACTCGGGTCAATCGAAGCGCGACCGCACTACATGTCGGAGATTCCGACTTTATTTTTTATAATAACAAGCGGGAGGTCCAAATAGGGGAACAACAGACCGCTAAAAGAGATGATAAAATAAATTCATATGAATTGAGCAATTTAATCCAAGTCTTCTGAAGAGACACGATCGCTTTATATGATGAACATATTTAATGTAGGCTTTTATTCACATACATTGATCAGCAAATGTACATGGAGCACTAAAATTTGGTAAACGGAAGCTCAAGCGTGCTTGCTTGATGCACAAGAACCGGGGTGCTTCTCAAACATTAGGCTGCATCCTAGAAAGGCTGCGTATCTCGGTTGCCACGTCATCAAGCACCACTGAAGGTCATCTCAATTTGAAGAATCCTTGGAGAGCAGTCTTCGTTTCGTATCCTTCATTCAGCTCATTTTGAAGGATGCATCAAGTGTATCCTTCACGTACTTCAATCACCCACAATCCTTTGCACACATTCGAATTCACAGAAAAGACATAAGCATGGTTGCTTTGGGGGATTTATACCTGTAATATGTTCCTTGTGACATATCATTCAGGTCATTTAAAAAAGTTTTACCCCTTGACAGGAATGGGGCCGATGCCATGGACGGTTAATTCTGAAATCTACCCTCTTTGGGCCAGAAGCACGGGCAATGCTTGTTCGGCTGGGGTGAACTGGACCTTCAATGTGCTGGTGTCTCTAACGTTCCTCCATATGGCCCAGTACCTGACTTACTACGGTAATGCTCTAAACAGTTCAGTGACAGCAGTCATGAACTTGACCTTTTTGTCAGCATCATCCCAGTATTTGATCTCTCAACATCAAGAGTATACTATGCATAAAGGCATTGTAGAACTAATTATGTTCATGACTCACTATTACTTTCATCTGGAAGTCTCTGTGCAAATTGACATTTTAATTAAGCACACTTTCCTGGACTTATTGTGGCAATTCCTCAATGTTTGTTATTGAAAAGGAAAAAAGTCTTGGGTACAGTTCATCAGTTAAATAAATGCTTTGCATCTTAAACTTTTCTCTTCTTTGCTGACCTCATCTAGGCAATTAGATAATTATAGTGTATATTTATTCTTTTTTTGTAAAAAAAAAAAATACATAAAGGAAACATCACTTAATAAAAACACTAAAAATATAAAATGATAAAAATGGGTCATACTTTTATGTAAAAATTGGAACTACAATGAAGAAGCTTGTTTCAGCCACAGAATAAAAAAATAAAAAGGTAATAGCGACTTTTTATCTGACAATTCTGACTTTTTCTCACAATTGCTAGTTTACATCTTGCAATTATGACTTTTTATCTCAGAATTGCATGTTTATATCTAGCAATTCTGACTTTATAACATGCAATTGTGTTTATTTCTCGCAATTGTGAGATAAAAAGTCGCAATAATCTTTTTAAATGTTTTATTTTGTGGTGTAAACAAGATCCTTAATTCTGACTGGGCCAGCAGAAAGAAAGAAAAATGCATAGTTGACTTCTGTATAGTTTTGGTATTTTTAGCCATTATAAAAATGATAATTTATTAAATAATATCTCTTTTGTTTTCCAGGTGTATTCTTCCTTTATTCCAGTTTGGCTCTATCTGGTTTCTTTTTCATTTATGGCTGCCTCCCTGAGACCAAGGGACGGCGACTAGAAGAGATTGAGTCCTTGTTTTATAACCGGCTCTGCTCGTGTGGCATCTCGGATTCTGATGAGGATCGGCAGGTGGAATACATCCGGGTAAAAGGGTCAAACTACCACCTATCGGACAACGACGCATCGGATGTCGAATAACACGTGTGAAACCTCTGGTTTGGCATCGATTGAGCATCGCTCAACCCTGACGTCAGGTCCGCCCACTGTATTGGTCAGGTTGAGCCTCTCTCATCCAGACGTTCACCGCGATGGCAAGAACAGGGTTGTAGAGCACACACAGTGCCATGTCAGCTTTTATAATATTGTCAGTATGTTTCTGGCTCGTTCCTCCACTGTCAGATGAATATCCTCTGCTTATTTATGTAAAATGAGATGTTAGCTGTAAATGCAGTAATATATATGCAGAAGAACATGTTTTTTTTTTTTTTCTTAATGTCATGTCATGTAACCGCAAAAAGCAAATTTTATACATATATAAATCGGAATGAAAAAAATGATATAAATCGGAATGAAAAAAATGATATTTGCGGCAATTTCCGTTCAACACACTGACAACTTCTAGTTCTGAGAACCCTGAAAATGTGAAAGGGTTTATTGTATTTTAGAATAATAGTAAAGTCATCAAAAATATTAACAATGGAAGTGTTGGAATTATGTAGAGATCAAAAATATTGAACAAATCATTATTTTCTATATATTTCAGATTGGTCAAAGTAGCCACCTATTGCCTATATGGGCATTCAAGTCTGTCTGAATTTTTGACTAGTCTATAAATTAATCAAAACCAGTTTCCTAAAATAATGTGACTCCCTGAATATCAACAAAATATAAATTGCAGTGAATAAAGATCATTTGCCAACGCGATAATATGCGATGCGTATTTCACCGTCTGGATTTTAAAGTGCCATAGATTATTTTGTCATATGAACCATCATGTTTGTAGGATTAGAGATCATTGACACAAAAAAAGTCAGATGTAGCTTTCTGCAGTTTTCCTGTGATAGTGTATTGTGGCCTTATAAAATATTTCACAATTTGTATATCGGTTTGTTTCATTATTTTTTCATTTGCATTTAAATGTTTACATTTAAGATGTTATGATTTGTTATTAAATATATTTATATATTTTTACTATAATTTTAATTTGTCTTCCTTATAGCCTAGTGTACAAAATCCTCGCAGTTGGTCTTGTCCATGAAACAGTGTAGGATAACCGTTTCGACAAGTACTGTAATATCCATTGTTCTTTTGTGCTTCTTCGTAAGTATACAAATAGACAAATACACATCAAAGTGTGCCAAACCGGCCTGAACATCTCTATGTTGTGGTTGTAGCTTTATCAAAACCAAGCTGATGGCTCTCATAAAAGCAACCGATAACTTGCTCAAGTTCCTGTTTAAAGGTTTCACTGTGCTCAGTGTAACATAATTGTGCACATCAGGCCTCGTGTAATGTGTTTTGTTCAGATACTGTACATGATCATGTGTAATTTGACATTTTCCATTGGATAAAACTTAATTTGGTTGAGTGAAGCACAAATTAAATTGGCACAATGTTTGACATTAGATTTTACAGGAAAAGTTCACCCACAAATGCACCCTCAATCATCAATTGCTCGCCCTCACATCGTTTCAAAACTTGTTTTATTCTGTGGTGGAACATAACTTGTTTATTCTGTGGAACATAAAAGGACACATTCTAAAGAATGTTAAAGCTGCTCTTTTCCGGACACTGAACGCATATAGTGACCAAGGGAGGCCTATCTCCAAAAAGGACAAAAGACATTTTTGGGTGTACTATTCCAAACCAATAAAAACTCTAACATAAAACATATTGCTTCTATTTGAGTCCAAGAGAGATTAGAAAAGTTTCAGTCTATATGTATGATGTAATTTAGAGATTTATCGAGCAGTTTCATGTGTACCAGATGTATTTGAATTTTAGATTGTACTTGGGAGGTTCTCCATCACGGACAGCCCTTTGTGTTACCAATGAACACATCTGTTTTAAGTGTATGGATGTATTTTTGTTTTGTTTTTGTATGTGAAAAACAAAATGCAGCGTTTCTACCATTAATGGAAACTAGTCAGGACAAATGTTGTGTTGTACAGTATTTGATTACTGTTGCTGTATACTGTTGCTAGATTTATATTATATAAAACTAAATATATGAACTTTGAAAACTTGAATATGTACTTGGAGATAATAATAAAGACATAACATACAATATGGTTGTTAGGATTTGGGTTTTCAATCCTACATGCATCAAATTTGAACAATCGATTTTTCAAAATGTACTTTTGCTTACTGTCTAATCCTTCCTGTGCTTTAACGTCAGCAGAATGTCAGCAGCTTCTTGTTTCTTTGTCTCTTCAGAGACCCAGTTCGCACCTTTCTCTGCCGTGAATTTTTTCTTCTCTTTCACAGGTTCTCCTGCATGCTTGACATCCTTGACAGGGTTTGGCGTCACACTTTCCAAACGAGGGCTGTCACACCTCGCTAATTTCACTCTAGCTTTCCACAACTCCTCTTTTTTCTGTTCTGGAGTAAACAAAAGACATTTAAAAAATGTACTATTCGACCTTCAAAATCATAATATGAAATGGAAATAGTTAATTCTGGGTAAATTACATTCTAATGTCCTAATATACAATACTGCTGGGGTCAGTTTCTAATGGCTGCATTTATTGATCAAAAATACTAGTAGTATTACTAGTAAGTATTACTTTTTTTCAAATTAAAACTGTAACTTTTTATTCTTAATGTTATTATTTTAATATTTCGATTTGGTATACTTTACAATTCCTGTGATCAAAAGCTGAATTTTCACATGACCCTTCAGAAATCATTGAGTCAATCAAAAGAACAACATTTATTGTTACATTATAAGGGCCCTATCATCCCGACGCAATTATCATTTTCACATCCTGCGCCACGTTGTTTAAATGGCAAATGCATTTGTGCCCATTTATGTGCCCATGTGCGTGCTGGTCTGAAAACGAGGTGTGTGTTCAGGTGCATTGTTGGCGCATTACATTTTGAGGCAACATATTGTGTACATAAAGATATGGTGGAATCCGGCTTGTCCCGTAGATGGTCTGCTCGCACGCTTTAACCTCGCGCACGATCAGATCTGTTCCCTCGCTAGAGAAGCGTTCAGTTTTTCCGATTGCAAATTCCGCCATGTAAATAGCGAATCCGCCATGGCACGAGCGCAACTGGCTTTTAAAGGGAATGGGAAATTACACTCTAATTAGTTTATTGCAAGTTACACCCAAAACACACCTATTACTCATAAAGAGAATAGGGAGATCGCCTAGGGACAACCCCAAAAAGTGGATTCGGACACGCCCTAACTGCACTTGCGCCGTGTGCTTTAGACCATGTGCTTAGATCATTAAAATAGGACCCTAAATGTCTTTACTTTTGATCAATTTAATGCATCCTTGCTGAATAAAAGTATTCATTACTATCAAAAAAGATAAATATAAGTAATATATACATTTTAATCCATCTTCAGAAGACTTGCAATATGATGCAAGAGTCATATATTCACTAATTTTTTTTCAAGCTTTGTTGTCTTGTTTGTATTGAAAAGAACAGCGTGAACATTTTGGAAAAGACATAAAGATGTGAAAATAATGACAGAATGTTCATTTTTAGGTGAACTATACATTTAAAATCATCCATGATGATCAGAAACATCTGGAACATTTCACAAAAAAATGTTGTGAGGTTTCACAGTGGATTAGTTATACCTGAGGCTCTGCGGAAAGGTTGTTTCAAAATTGACGTCGCATCTCTTTCCGTACTCGTCCGACTACGAAGTTTGCGGAGGGAGAAGTCTGCTTGTGATTTCGGATGTCTCTGTGCCTGCTGGTTTGCTGCTGATGCCTCTGAGGGACTATTTCCTGTTCTTTTGTGGCCATCTTCCGGAGAACTAAGTGTAGTTGGATTGAGTATCTGATTAAAATGAAAAGACTGCTGCCTCGTGGTAAGGACATTGGTTTTCTGATCAGCGGTGGGGAAAGACACAGATTTGCTGTGATGAATAGGTGAACACTGAACTGAGACATCACAGTTAGATAAAGCTTCTGTTTGTGTCCCCTTATTCAAGGTTAATGGAGGATCCCCATCACGCCTTTGTGCTTTAGTCTGCAGATGAGAAGGAACAAACTGATTATCATTGCGTTTTTGTCCAGTTTACTTGTTGTCTCATGTATGAAACTCTGGATTTTACCTCACTTTGACAATCGCAAAATTTTGCCGCTGTTAAATTGTTCACAGATAAGCAACAGTGCTTTGCTATGGGAGAATCTTCAGCGTCGGGCAGGTCAATTTCTTCTTCCTGTCCATCGAGAGAGAATTTCATGGTCATAAAGAAATAATTGAATGGGTGAATTTCACAGTTTCACCACAGTTTTTGTCTTACGTCATCTAGGCCGAGATAAACTCCTCTTGGAGATTCACAACCGTGCACAAAGACATTTCTACCATCAGCACCTGCTGAAACACAATAAAACATATTGTTCTGAGCACTAAAACGATTCATCTATACCAATAAACCAGAAAACTTACATGTGTTGCAGTCAGTACATTCAAATTCCTGAAAGAAAAAAAAACTTAACTTACTGTATGTCTATGTTGCTTTCAACCACAAGAAGGCAGTATTTACCTACAATTGATAGGACTAATGCAATTGTCAGTTTGTCACCCTTTCCCTTACTCTATTTCTAAATTAACAAATCAAAATTATGTATTAATGAAGTAACCATATGCTGAAAATTATGTAAAAGATAGAACATATCCATAAACACATTTTTTCTTTTCTTTTCGAAACTTGTAAAAGCTTGTTTTTTCATACCTGTGTTGAAAACTGCTCATCGTTGTACATGTTTTGTGATCTGTCACTTGAACTCATTGAGGCAAGCACTATAAGAAACGCGAATAATAAAGAACATCATATACAATGAATCAAAATACTGACTGTACTCTGGACAGCTCATGGAGGATTGGAAATATTATTAATGTAGTAGGTCAGTTAAATGTAACATTGTTTCTGTATTCTCAAAAACTCACAAACAATTATTTACACTAAAAAGCTATAAATACTCAGCATCTGTATTAACCTTAAAAAATAAATGTAATAATGTATAATATTGCATATTAAATTACATTAAATCACTGTCTGCGGTGTTTATATATAAATATATATATGTCATGTATTTGTCTCTTGTTTTATGTGCAAGCACATGGCCGGTTGTTTTGGGCTATGTGTT